TGGAGAATGGTGGACGACTTCGAATGAAAGTCCCTTTAGGGTCAGTGTGTCAGCGTGCAATATATTCACACCTGGCAACATATTGCTGACCCATGAGGAACGGAACAATATCTTCTAAGATTTCATCCTTGCTGATCATATAGGGGAAACCACTGTAGTATTGTACCTTGCCCAGGGATGCAGTTCTCTGAGAAGTCAAGAGGAAAGCAGACAGAAGGACAGACCTGACCACCCTTAATCACGCCGAACTTTGCCTCTAGTCTGAGATGATTTTAAGCATTATCAATTGCTTCCCTGAGGGTCCGTTTAGCGTTCTAACTTGGATCATAGCTGTGAGTTTTGAGTGGCCCGCACAGGTGGCGGACTGCAGGCTGATAATGTAGAACCGTTCGAATACCGTAGATGCTCTTTTGTATGCGTCGTGTGCGGAATATGCATCTCATCTCCCCTACCCAATCTTTCGAGCAAAGATTTTTTTCACTGTGCTCACACAGTGATGAAAACTAATATCTCGAGGAGGGTTTTCATTGGAGCACTTTCTATTACTTTTTTTCCTCACTGCCAGTTCGCCTGCCATCCACAGGATGGAAGGATACATTCAAAGGCAGTTGGCACGATAATGTGGCACTAGTCCTGAAATGCTAGCAGGGCCCTATATAGTGGGAAAATGGCGAAAAAACGAAGTGAAACGGTCAAAAACCTGCGAAGAAAAGCCTTCGTTCTCAATGACTCAGAAAGCAACGGACGAGTTTCCCGTAGGCATCTGCCAATAACCGCTACGGTAGTACGGCTGCACGTATGTACTCATATATCCATGCAGCACCGCAGCCGCTTCATACCAATCCCTTCGCTTCATATTTTACTTAGCAAATGAAGCAGTACGAGCATCAGGAACGGTCGTCCATTTGTGGGCGGGCGGGCGTGGTGGGCGTTCGGTCGGTATGTTGTAGCTTGATAGGGCCCTTGTAAGGGTACCTTTTTGGGAAAAACGCTACCGCCTGCACAGGGTAGCGGAATTTCGTCATGCCAGCAGATTCATCATAACTCATGCTTTAAGGACTGATTCGTACCAACTGCTTTAAGGTTGATATGCCGCCTCGTGTTGACCCGGGAAACGTGCTTTGAAGCTTTTTTCTATAAGTTCTTTTTGTATTCTATGAATATTGCATGGCACTTCATTAACGGTTTTTATTCGCTATAAGAAAGCCCTTATTTAGCGGCTTAGGAGGAAAGATCGCTATGAATTACTTTTTGCTGTGTGGAGTGATCACGGTAGGTTTTTTAGGGTGAACTTGAGAATAATCTGCTCAATTTGTGGGCGTCTGTATGTAAACACATTATATAGTGCACTTCTTCGATATTTTACGCTTTGATGCCTTTCAGTGCAACCATACGATCGTGACGTTGTCATGTCAGCAGTTGCATCTGACTAGTGCAAATGATTAAATATGGTCTCATTTGAAAATGTTAACAGAAAATCTCTACGTTCGAACCTTACTGTATTCCAGCATAGTACTTCTGAGAAAAAACTGGCTGCGTATTCGCAGCTCACCATCAGTTGTGCGTTTTTGAGCTGGCGTAAAAACAGGAATAGCTGATAAAGGACTGGGTCGAGAATGGAGATGGTGTTGAGGGTAGGTGATTGGTAGGTGATGCTGCATCCCACGCTCACGAGCTTGGCTCAAATTCGAGATCGGTTCCCGCCTAAGTCATACAACTCTTCCGCTCAAGGCACTGAATTCTTGCCGTTGGGAAATTCTTCCCTGAAAAGCCACAGTTGAGGGGCTCGTGCCTGTGTACCCTGAAGGAGAGCTCTGACAAGTGTGTTGTTAGTGAATCTGACCCTGTTCCGCATTTGGAACTTGGGGAAGGCTATTCCTTTTGCTTGTGGCCTAAATAGTGTGTTAACAATTTGAATTCGCATTTGGCTCAGACTAGAAGACGAATGCGGAGTTCTGTTGTTCACTCAAAGTTTCGAAGGCTGCTACTGGTTTCAGGTTTTGTACCAGATCATTTCCTTCCCGGAGATGGATGCATTGGCATGGCAGGAATTCTATCGTGTTCGAATGGTCTGTGAATTACTGAATACGATAGCGGATTTCTTCCAAACTGGACGTGCCCGCCGAAAAATGGATTATTTCCTCACGTATTTTCATCGCTTTTATTGGATGAAAAGAGAGCAATGGAATGTGAACTCGGTGATGGTTGAAGTGCCAGGTGCCGAAGAAGCTGGAGATGGAACGGTGGTCGAACCGCCACGGTTAGTCCAATCTTTCGTATTTACTTTCCTACGAAGAGGAGGGGCGTGTTATTGATGTCGTTTTCTGGCCTCATACCTAACCTAAAAGGTGCCTTTGAACGGCTGAATCGGTTCAACCTTCAGATTTCCTGCGGATGTTGAAGCGGAATATCGTGAATGTATGCGTCGTATGCGAAAAAGTGCTCCTATCCCGAAAGATTTGACAGAAGCCGAACGTGCAGTGGAGCAGGTCGAGCAACAGTTGAAGGAAAAGGTGATCGCTTGTTCTATGGCTTTCTGAGCAGATGACACTCGCAGTCATGTGGGTGGCCCCTTAATTCCAGTTTCAGACAAGTTGGGCATGGAATTCCATTTTTTTACGGCGAATCTGTTCAATCGTCATCAGAAATGACAACTTCCTGCACTTAACGCTTGTTTTCAGTTAGCGCTTGCAAGCGGAAGTGCTGACGAAGAGGAGGAAGAAGAAGATGAGAGGAAGGTACCTGATCGAACACTTCATCAAATCGCGGAAGAAGATGGGTAGGTGTTAAGTAGCATTGAATGATAGCAAGAGAAAATCCCTTCAGAGGCAGAGAATTTGGGACAAAATAAGTAGGGGGGGTGGCGCTGCCACTGCCGCGTCACGCCTGCTTGTCTGCGTCCTCATATTGAGTAGGAAGATGGCGTACGCACTCATTCTAGGGCTTCGCAAACGCTTGCCAAGACAGGATATCATTTGAGCGCGCCATTTCGTGCTTCCCTCCAACTACCTTTGTTCCAAAAGTTCAATGAGGACGATGAGAAAGGTTTAGGATCAATGAAAGGATTAGGATTTCCGGCGCAGTTTGGCTTGGGGGGTAGGGGTTATTTGGCCCTCACCGATCATTGCTGACGCCTTGTGCGAAGACCTGTTGATTTCTATAAAGCTATGAGCATCGTTTGCATTTGACATGGGTCTACATGTTTCATCACCCAGGAGAGAAGTGTAATTTGACAGTATGAAACCAGCGGGAGTGCAAAATGCCCCCCCCCATTCCTCCCCGCTAAGCC